GAGTGAAAGTGAATGAGGGTGGGGGAGAGTGAGGGATGGATGGAAGGGGGATGAGTGAAAAGAGGCAGGGCCCCAGAAAGGGTGGGGCAGCATTGGAGCAAGCATATTTGATTTTGTGCAGTTAGAACCTTGGCAACTCTAGTAACGGGTATTTGATGTTCAAATGGGAAAGTAAATTAACAGATTTCACAATAATTCACTCCCCTCTCTGCGAGCAGGTGCACACCTTGTGCATGAGCTTTATGGAAGACTAGCAGATGTACCCAGCGTTGATTGGGTCTATAACTGAAGGAATTTTGTTTTTGGAAAAATAAATGAAAAATATACCTGCGTTATTTCAATGACTGTATTTCTCAAAAATGAAGGAAAATGAAGGCCGGAGTGAGACTTCAGGAGTGAGGAGGGCCATGGGTAGGTGGCTTAGAGAAGAGGGTTGGGATGGGGGGGCGGCTCAGAGCAGGGAGAGGGGTAGTGAAGTCAAGGCAGATGGGAAGTTCAGGACTCAGGGCAGGAAGCTAGGAGGTGGGGGGAGGGGCTACCTGGAGCTACCCATGTTGGCGAGGGTAGCGTTGCTTCAGTGGCAACTTCTTAGGGAGCCAGGCAACACTCTCTTGCCAGCAGGGACCTTCCAGTTGCCCTCTCCCATAGTCTTCAGACTATTTGGGGGATGCAAAGCTCTGGGAGCTGCCCCTTCTTATAGCCTGCAGGTTGCCAGGAGGGAGGGGTGAGTCTATGGGCTTCCTCTCCCCCGCCCCCACAGCTCACCCCTGCAGCCAGCAGGTTGTCAGGGGAGTGAGGCTCTAGGGACTGCCTCTTGCAGCCTTTCGGCTGTCTGGAGGAGGACAAATTCTGGGGGCTTCCCCATTCCAGTTGCCCCTCTCTAACACCCTCCTCCCCACAGCCTGCAGGCTGTCTGAGATCTGCCCCATCCTGCAGCAGCCCCACTCATGGCCTGCATACTCTCCATGGTGAGGAGCAGGTTCCAGGTTTGGGGTAGTAGGACTTTTTTCCAGCGGGTTGGCAGGCAAGATGGCAGAGCCCCAGGGCTGCTGGCCATTCTCTAGGTGCTGTAGCTGCCCCCAGTGGCCACTCTCAATATTGCATTCCTTCCCTCTCTGTGCCCCTCGCTTTCGTATTCCTCCTCTCTGTGTCTCCACCTTTTCCATGTTATAGGAAACAGTCCCATTCCTGGCACTTCCCATTTTCCAGGCACAACCAAACCCTGACCTTGGTTTAAGTTAGGGTAGGAGAAACCTGCTTACCCAATTTGGTGGTCTTAACTCTTTCAGGTTAGGAGGAGTTCTTGAACAAATGGACAAACAGACATGCAGCTAGATGGACTCACAGACAAATAGAGGCACTCTAAAATATATAGCGAGATTAAGGGGAAACTTTTGTAAGATCTCCTTGCTGCAATATCAGCACATCATGGCATTATATATGCACTGTCCATTTATTTAAGTTTGAACATATAAGACACATATCTCAAGGGTTTAATCTGCCTTGACAGATTATTTAAATAACAGTCCATAAAGAAGCCTATACCGGAAACAGCACAGCAGAATTCTCCAGTGCCCACCATAATGTCCCCCTCCCAATAATTATCAACTATTCTCAAATGCCTGCTTCCAGAGAGAATTTTGAAATATATCTTGAAAGTTGTCAAATTCAGGCTATTTCAGACCAATGGGGTGTGAATTCCAAAGTCAAGAGGCCCACATAAAGAAAGCCCGGCAAGTAGGTCATTGTGTATGAAGGAATCAAGCTCAAATGTGTCTGTTGATCATAATTGTGTCTCTTAGGGCATGTCTACACTGGGAAATTATTTCTGAAATAACTGTTTTGAAAACAGCTTATTCCTCTTCACAAGCAGAAGATATTTTGAAATAACCAGTCTGTTATTTCAAAATAACGGGCTTTGGAGTGTGGACGTTCTGCTTGTTATCTTGGAAAAAGGGAAGTTATTTCAAAATAACTCCTTAGTGTAGGCCAGAGCTCAGACATGCAGTCCCCAATCCATTTAACACTATTTAGCTTCAAACCAACATCTTTCACTCCACTTCAAACCAGCACTGGACTCCTCTTTTCATAGAGTGCTTACACATCCCTAAACTCCAGATTTGAATAAAACTACATTTACTCACCATGGGCTAGGTTCTAGTACCTTTACTGCCATTAAATTACCCACAAAGAGTTAGCAGGACTAGCTGTGACATTAGTAAGGGATAGAGTACACTTGCTCCCACATTCGAGCTAGGGATGCAAATGTAGGCAGCCAAAATTGCTAATGAAGCGGGGATTTAAATATCCCGTGCTTCATTAGCATGATCTTGCCCACGAGTTATTCCACTCAACAGCTGATTCGAAAGTGAAAGTGTGCTCTGGGACACGTTAGTTTGAATCAAACTAAGGAGTAACATTAGTTCGAACCAAGGGATTTGATTCAAATTAACGCGTTCCGGAGTGCACTTTCACTTTCAAATCAGTTGCTGAGCGGAATAACGCGGGGGTGAGATCACGCTAACGAAGCGCGGGATATTTAAATCCCCGCTTCATTAGCAATTTTGGCTGCCTACATTTGCATCCCTAGCTCGAATGTGGGAGCAAGTGTAGATGTCCCCTGAGTATGTGGCTACTTTTTTTCTTTCTTTTAGTCCCCTTCCTAAAGATTTTGTCAGTCTTTAAAAAAAAAAAAAAAAAGAGAGAGACTTATTATCAGTGTTGGAGAGAGACTTCAGCCCTTCTCCCTCATGGGGGATATATAGATCATGATTGTCCATTAAGAGGTTGTAGGGCTTTTTTCCTCTTAATTTTACTAAGATCAACTTGTCTCTCCAGCACATGGTCATTCCTATTGATTGCCATATGGGTGCAATAGGTATCAATTTATCTGATTAAATTCTGGTACTTTATTGCTTTTGTCAGCCGCCCAGCATTTTATCTAAACTCCTTCCAGTAGAGAGGATGCCAACGCACAGATTTTGGTAGCTATTGTGAGACAGAGCTTTGGCTGACCCATTATAGAAGCTGGCTGTGAAGTTTAGATTCAAATAGAAAGTTTCCAGGTGTTTGGATCTGTGTTCTGGGATGGATATTAAAAAAACATTCATTCCTTGTCAAAAATACAAAGGAAAATGCCATCAGCAAAACATTTATTGTTCTTGCCATGACCTGCCAACCAAAGAAGCCAGTAAAGAGGTGTTCAATGTTGACTCCTCTAAAATCAAAAGGGCCAAAGAAGGCTGCTCAAACAGAGGAAAGTAGCTTGGTTTTGTAAGGAAGATAGCTCCACCCCCATTATTAACACTGCTAAGGACACATTGAGAAAAACATGACAGAAAGAGGCTGACGGTATTGAGTGGCAGTGGTACTGTATAAAGTGTTTGTGCAGAGGCAGATCTGTCGCTCACCCATCACAACCATTCTTTCTTTTTAAAGGTTCAAAGCAACATGCACACGAGGTACCAGACTCGGGTTCCATGACAAGCCGCCTTACATTGCCAGGTCAGTAGGCACTTTCATGCCGGAATGCATGTATATGCACAGCCACAGAATTGGGTAATCGGTGAATGTTTATCTTTTCAAACAATAATTACCCCAAGAATTAAGTCCTACTCGCTGGGGGCACAATTAGCTCAAAAATTCTCTCTTGTTTTGGGACTTTGATTGGACACAGCATGTGTTAAATTAAAAAAAAATGCTTAAAATTGGGTGGATTGTGTTGCATAAATTAGTTTGATCTGCTGAATGAGGTGAGAAAAATAGGCTTGGTTCTTGTCATCTGCACGCAGGAGTAAAAAGGGAAGTAATATGTTTATTCTGTGAATTGCAGGGTAACTGTTTTTCAGTTCTCTCACCCCACAAGTCCCTGCTCTCTTTGATATGTCCACAAAACCATCCTCCACAGGCCCTTCATCTCTGTCTTACACAATGTTGCACAAGAAGAGGGAGGTCACTAAGGGAAAGCAATATGAAATGGTGACTCAGAATGACTCAGCTTGCATGGGTAGTAAGGACATACAGCTTTGGAGGAAATTGGGTGAGTGCAAGGGTTAGGTCATCTTGAAACACCTGGAATGTGCCTCAAAAGAAAGAACCCAAGGAGAGCAGTTTTGGAAAGGCATTGAAGAATGATTTACTACATTCATTTTTTGGAAGCCTATGTGGGGTGGAAATACAGATATTCAAGGTGCAATACAGCCTTGCATATGGACAACAATAGCAATAGCACATCACTGTGGGACTGACATCTTCGTGCTGTGCCTAGCATGCCATAATTTCACATGTTAAAATAACAGAATATTCAGCAGATTTTTCTTCAGACTGCAACCCAGTGTAAGCAACATGGATCACGAGCTGTAGCTAAGAAAAACTATGGAGAGAGACTTGAAAATGGTAATTTTCTCAGATGAAGCAGCATCCTCTTTGAAGCTTCATGTAAGGTCAAACAAGAAATTGGTCACAATCATGGACCATGCCTGAAGCAATTCCTAAATAGAAGGTACAGTAAACACCATACAATCATTCTCTTAAAGTATCAAATGCCTCATTATTGGCTGAAATAGTTAATATGTTTTGTAGCATTAGCTGCAGATTTGGCCTGCTCCCCCTCCCTTCTTTAACACCATTCCTCTTATTGCTCTAATTTTTTTTAGATGAGTGTATATTCATTTTGACATTGTTATAGGGATGCTGTTTCAAATGACTGTGGATCAGACTTCCTTAAAGATTACTATCATAATAAAAATCTACTAGCCCCAATATTTGGAGACTTTTTTGGAAAGGCATGTAATTTTTTTAAACAATAAGTTAGGATACAAGTTAAACAGCAAAGGAGGAATTTGATCCACATTTTAAAAAAATATGTTATTTGCACTGTTGTGCTCTTCCTGTGATACTACATTTCTTTTTAACAGGCTATGCTTGCTGACTGACACTTATTCATGTTGTCCATAACAATTTTGTTACTGTAATCAGCTAATGAGCACTTGCCTGTAGTATCTACCTACTTGCATGTAATATTCACTCTCAGAATGTAGGTAATTACAATAGAGGAGTTAAAAAGAGTGCAGAGAATAGGGCTGTGGAGTGTGTTACACAAGAGATACATTTTGTTCCCTTCTCTGCTATCATCTCTCTGGCGGGTGACCTTGGGCAAGTCATGTCACTGTTCCATGCCTCAATTTCCCCCTCAGTACAATGGGGGATAATGATGCTTACTCAAGGCTAATTGCTTTGCTCTAGATGAAAAGTGCTATATTAAACTGAAGTGATAGAATTCAAATACATAAACACTTGGGGGATATTTGGTACAGCACATATTGCTGTATTTGTGTCTTATACTGGTGGCGCATATAGCATAAATAGCAGCAAAAATGTGTGTATTGCAGCAGCTAGCCATCTTCTTCCTTCCCCCCACCCCTAGGGCTAACAGACCAGATTTCAGGCTGTTATTTTGAGTATACTGACTTATTAACATTTACATTGTTTTTACTATTGTTAGGCCACCTGACATGAACTTCAGCACTCCTAAGGGCAGCAAGGGCTCTGTACCTTGCAGCAGAAGAACACCTCAGACTGTCTTACTGTTTTGCTGATCTGTACAATGTAAACGTGGTGTCTATTCAGTCTTTGCTTTTTCAGAGTGTGTATTGATAACAGTCTCATATTGAATTGCACAAAGAAACCCTCTGAATGGCACCTACATAAATAACTGGCTGTATTTTCTTTCTCTTAATTAAAGATTTCCCACATCAGTGCATGTTGTGGCATTGACTTACTAGATTTTCTGCATGTGCATGTATACTAATGTGTCACTGCACTTGTACATTCTATTGTAGAGGTGTCACAGAAGTGTTTAGTTTGGTACAGGGCATGAATCAGTTATTCATACCCACACATTTATGATATATTGGTGGGAAAAGTAAAGTATAATATATATAGCTCTGTGGGGCATATAACTTTGTAACAATACTGATTTGTTATTTATGTACTGGACCATTAAGTTTCTAGGAGTCTGCTCTTTGCTGGAGGCAGCTGTGCTCCATTGAGAAGCAGGAAGGAACACTTCCATTTCTACTCGTACATCGTGTTCTCTAGTGGAGAACTTTAGTTTTGTTGTTTGCTCTATTTAGCTAGAAATCCACCTCACATTAGTTAACTGTTGCACATTTCTCATCATCACCACTTTTCTTTCTTTCTTTCTTTCTTTCTTTCTTTCTTTCTTTCTTTCTTTCTTTCTTTCTTTCTTTCTTTCTATTATCCACTTTCATTTCATTTTATTGTAGATTAAGGGAAAACAGTGAAGCAAGAAAGAACGAATATAAAGTCTCCACAAGAGAGCATAGTCTAACCATCTCTTCTGTGGCAGGATGTATGTGAATTGAACTTGAAGGGTGTAGTTTTCAGTAATGCTCAGAGCTAGCCTATCTCTGTTCCCAGTGAGGGTAATGACAAAACTTTCATTACTCCAATTAAAGTCAAAGTTTCATCAATGCTGAATGCTTTTCAAAATTCCACACACAATAACAGCTGTTTTTATCAAAGAGAAGGCATATAGAAATTTAAAGGTGGTAGTTTTCGTAAAGTAAAATCTTAAATTACAAAACTACATACACCACCTTTCACTTGGAAAAATGCCAAGGTTCTTTACAAATTCTATTCCCAGCACTCTACTGGTGCAGAACACATTGTATGTGAACCTATACAAACAAAATATGTGTAAATTTGGAATAGTCTGGATATTCAATCCAGATAAACACTCTGTATTACTATCCAAAATGTATCTGATCTATCTGAATGACTTTGGGTTTTATAAAAATGGCCTCTCATGCTAGATTTCCAGTATTTTCCGCTTCCATCCATTATGTTCTTATGCTAATTCCAGTCTTTCTTGCAAAATTTCTTGTGAAATTATTACATTTATGTTTTTGGTCTGACCCAGAACCAGAAATACAAAAGCTTCAGGGGATAGCCAAGTTAGTCTGTACAGGATAAACTTAAAAAACTACAAATGGCCTGGTAGCTCTTTATAAACTAACAAAACATGTAGATGGTATCATGTGCCCACAAAAGCTCATGATACCATCAGAAATACAAAGGTGAGTAAAAATGAAAAAAATAATTTAAATAATTTAACTGGGTCCTTTGAACTACCCAAAAAGTTGCACTAAAATGTTGGACAAAGGTTTAGGTCACTTGTCCATTAACAAGAGACACAATAAAATAAAAAAGATGCTTGAATTTATTTATTTATTACATGCCAGCAATCAGGATGGATAAGATCCAACATGAAGATAATTTAAATAGACAGGAAGCATAAGTAGACCTCAAAGGTTGTGTTTTCACTTCTATTGTTGTGACTTAGTTTATAAACTTCCTAAGAGAGGTCAAGCATATCTAACCTGCATACAGAGAGTATACAGCAATTGCATAATAATGCAATTATTAGGTGTCTGTTACTGAGTACAATATCTGTTTGTCAAAGGGGCAACTAGGGGCTCTTTTGTGATGCATGCTGGCTAATGAATAGCCATTTTAAGGTTGACACTTTACTTCTCCTCCCTACAATCCTCCCCAAACATACTTTAAAATGTTTCGCATCTTCTCCAGGACTGTAGATTTTTAAAAATACCTTTATTGTGATAGAGGCAAAACCTAAGCAGAAGAAAATCATTGTTAATTAACTCTGTGATAGTTTCATGTTGATACAGAGATGGAGAAAACTCAATTCAAGGTTTGATGTTATATAGAAGCTTCAGCGTAAAAGTATTACTTAAGAGAAAATGAGATGTTATGCTTTTGTGATTTTTGATTTTGTAGCTTAGCTATAAATTCTGATGCTCAAGCCCAGATTTTTAACTATATTTAGGCTTAGGTCTTTTCAAACAGAAATTTAGGTTCCTAAGTCAGTTATGTATTACATTCACTAAATAACTGTAAAAATCAGGGTCTTTCCCCCATAGATTATAAGAACCTTAGAAACGGATGGCTGGATAGATGGGCATACAAGGGAAAGAAAAAGAGATGGCTCATTGTGAGTTATATTTCTTGGTTTCATCGCTGTTATGCACTTTCAAAAACTTGGAAACAAAACATATTTTCCAACTAGTTTTTGTCCATTTCCACTGTACAAATACTAGGACAAATTGTTGCTCCTTCCCCGAAAAGATTCATGGACTGTTCCCATTTCCCACATCTCCTCTGCTCAGCTGGTAGCCACAACCCCTCTGTTGAATGCAAAAAGTCTGTGATGGCAGCTAGTACCCCCCAGCACCTCAGATTGTATGGTTTGGGATATGGCTGGGGTTGCATACAGTGTGGCTTTGTCTACACTGCAGGGTTTTTGTGCAAGAAGCCTTTTGCAGAAGAGATCTTCCGCAAAAACTTCTTGCGCAAAAGTGCATACAGACCTCAAAGCGAATCGCAAAAGCGATGCACTTTTGTGCAAGAGAGCTTCCACACTGCATGGACACTCTTGCACAAGAAAGCTCTGATGGCCATTC